TTTTTTTCAAATCAAAATAGTGCAAAAGCACATGTCGAAAAAACACTTTATCGCGTTCCATTTTTCACAAAGCAAAAGAAATTGTTGTTTAGGAAAATAATTGTGTATGCTGACTGAATGTTATCGAGAAATGTCGAAATTAATCACAAACTACCTGTTTCGTTAGTAATGACTACTAGAACTGTTTGCATTGCCATCTAACATTTGCGGGCGGAAACTAAGTTAAGGTCCTAATACTTATATTGAATATTTGTTCATCAAAATTATATTTGGTAAAACACCCCTTTAGAGAAGGCAGTTCCAATAGCTTTGATCTTGACATACATATATTATAGAGGTTACCGTCCTGAGTAACTTTTGGAAGGTTTTAGCTGTCGCTCGTTGTTTATTAAAAAGTTATTAACAAAAGAAATTTTATAAAACTCTGCTATGTCACGATGATAAATATTTCTTGAAAGAAACTTTTGCAAATGGAACTGTTATTTCCAAAATTTATTAATATCAATACAGAGTATATTAAGTTTAGTATATAAACGGTAAGCGTGATTCTTTCTAGACGTTTAGTTCTCATAGAGACACGCATACATGAATTCACGCATGCGTTTTCTTCTCTTTATACATTGTATAAATACACGTCAAAATAACACTTTCGCATATTCATACAGTTCGTCATAAAAATTGTGAGAAAACAAGCACGATTTTCAAGTTAGATGACAATTTTCCGAAAAAGGGAGGGGATAATGTTGGTATTAAGGAAAATCTCTACACAATATAATTTAAAGATCTATTCATTGTAACTGCACTGCTGAACTGGTGCAATAAATTGAAGTGAGACATATATATGTTATCTCATTATAATCTTTTGCATTATTTCAGCAGTGCAGTTACAAAGAACAGATTTTTAAATTATATCATGTAGAGATATTTTCATGAGGATGTTTTCCTTGATACCAACATTATTCCTTCCACTTTTCGAGAAATTGTCGCTTAATCGATTTTCAGGCGATCTGACCTTCTAATTCCCTTAATAATATATGTAACTAGCAACGTCATCGGAGGTGAGTCCTTTAAACAGAAGTTTTACCTTTTAGGTAATAAATATTTATATTTTCGAGAAAAATTCTTTCACTTCATAACATGCTTCCGGGACCAACTCCGGACATGCTCCGGGACACAGTCTCAGTGCCAATAATGCAGTAATGGCAAAAAAAATTATCTAGACTTTTCTACTAGAATTCAAATGAGGTATGCAATGTCTTTTCAGTTATCCATCGTGCAGCGGGGCAATAGCGCCCGGTTTAGCAGCGGACATGCATTTCCAGGATAACGTGATCGCTTTCATCGGGCCAGCTTGCGCATTTGCTTTGGAACCAGTGGCACGTCTCGCGGCGTATTGGAACACCCCAATTATTACAGGCATGGGTGATCAAGTAGGTCGAATCGTTCTGAATTGTGTTTGTATTGTACACAATTGTACTTGCGCGTGAATTTTAGCACACTTGATTTGCACGATTAACTTCTCTCGCCTTCTCTATTCTTTTTCGCATCATTAAATATCTAACACATATTTGGTATAATACCAATTTGTCACACACAGTGTACGAGGGCTGCTCCGTAAGTTTTGCGACTAGTAAGGAAAACACGGTAATTTGTCATTGAAAATGGCTTTATTGTTTTTCAAAGTATTCTCCATGATGATCAATACACTTCTGCATTCGCTCAAACCATTTATTATAGTATTCATGCCACTCCGAAACTGGTACCTCCAAAATATGTGTTTTAAACGCATCAACCGCTTCTTCTGGCGTCGAAAATCGTTGACCACGCAATTTATTCTTGATGTTCGGGAACAAAAAGAAGTCATTCAGTGCCAAATCAGGACTGTACGGTGGATGATCCATTAATTCGATTAATTTCATTAATTAATAATTTCGATTTTTTTCACTGGTCAAATAGGCGGTTGTTTGAGCCGATGTATGAGAGCTGGCATTGTCATGGTGAAGAATGATTCGTTGTCTTGAGTTGTTTTTCCTTATTTGGCCGAAGACTTCTGGCAAACAAATGGTTGTGTACCACTCAGAATTGACCGTTCTACGTTTCTCTAAGGATACTGTTGCCACATGACCAGTTTTTCCGAAAAAACAGGCGACCATTTGTTTCGAAGTGCTTCGAGCGCGAACAACTTTTGTTGGGTTAGGTTCACTTTGAAAGACCCACACAGTCGACTGCTGTTTAGTTTCCGGCTCATATGCATAGATCCATGATTCGTCACCTGTATAAAGGTTATATACGGCATTTAACGCACCTCGATCGAATTTCTTCAGCATTTTTTTGCACCAATTTACACGATCCTTTTTTTGAGCAATTAAATTATGCGGGATCCAACGTGAACAAATTTTTTTTACGACCAAATGTTCATGCAATATCGTTTGTATGCAATTCATATCAACACCCAGGGATGCCTGAATCTCACGGTATGTCACATGTCGATCTTGCATTATCAATTCACGCACAGCATCGATGTTTTCTGGCACAGCAGCTGATTTTGGACGACCTTCGCGAGGTTCGTCGATGAGCGAACTACGACCACGATTGAATTCACTAAACCAGAGACAAATAGTGGTCTTGTGTGATGCTTCATTGCCAAAAGTGGAAGCAAGTTGATCGATGCATTCTTGTCTCGATAATCCACGTCGAAAGTCGTAAAAAATCATCAGCACGAAAGTGTTCTCGTGTTAATTCCATTTTTTCGCTGAGACATAATTTTCAAGTCACTGTAAACAATACAAGTAGTCTCCGTACGACAAAACGTTTCGAGTAAAAAAATCTTCCAAACTGTCAAACTTTTTAATGGTAAGGTTAGATTTTACCTAGCAACGCCAGTGTTGCCAAGTCGCAAAATTTACGGAGCAGCCCTCGTATACTTTGAGAAACTCGATTTAACACGATATGTTTTAGTTTAAGATGAATTGCGTCGTTGTGTTGTTAACGTTTAATTATGTAATTGTCACTTTCTTGTGAACCAAGCCCCCCTCAGAAGGCGAGCTGTCGGTCACGTCTGGTATCCTTGGAAGGATTCACAAATGGAAGAATGAAACCTCGGTAAGCTATGGGAACGGTTTTGTGGATTTTTCGTCTTGCTCGAATGAATTTCATGTTAAACATTTCTAAAACTATTATCGTTTACTAGGCATTTTTTTATACAGAGTGTCCCAATAAGAGCGCAAGATTTTAATTGCGCGCTGTTTTCGTTCTGTTATGTAGACTATACTGAACGTTAAAACTTCTCAGTTGTCATGTAAACGCATTAAGATTAGTAGTCATGGATTATTATACGAAGAAACTACGATTTATTATTCTGAAAATTTATATAATAAATAATGGGGAAAGTTTTGTGGAAGCAGTTCGCAAATCGCGTGCAACATTTTCGATTGACAAAATATCAAAGCGTTGTTAAGAGTTAAGGAACCTATATTCGCTATTGTTCAGTAATTAGACGAGAACTAATTAGTAATTTGACACTTTGCACCAAATTCACACGAAATATCTGCATCTGCATGCTTATAAAGTTCAACTAACGTAAAAATTGGAACCAACGGATTATCTACAGCACCGTGCATTTGTCAATTGGATGTTGGAAAACCAAGAAATAATTTTTCGGAGAAAATGATTTTTAGCGATGAAGATTTTCACTTTGATGGGTACATAAATAAATAAAACTGCCGGATTTAAGTCGAAGAAAATCTTCGAATGATTTTTGAAAAGCTAATATTAGGTGGTAAACTTAGTTCCTGCGGCTCACAGTTAGATGACGTTAGTTGTAGGTGTAATTTATTTTGACATCTGAAACTGGCTGCATTTTAGAGGTTAGACATTTGTCAATAAAATTCAGTGCGAAGAGATTCATTTAAGCAAGCAATGCTATTTTTCTTTTGATTAAATATGGAAATATGGATGATAAGTTGTTTTTTCGACATGTGCTGCTTCATTACTTTGACTTGAAAAAAACTGCAGCTGCAGCTCATAAATTGCTTTTCGAAGCTTATGGCAATTATGCTCCATCGGAAAGAACATGCCAAGTATGGTTTCAGCGATTTAAGAGTGGTGATTTTGATGTCAATGATAAAGAACGCTCAGGCCAACCGAAAAAGTTTGAAGACACCGATTTGCAGGCATTATTGGACGAAAACTCTACTCAAACGCTCCAAGAATTGTCTGCAGCATTAAATGTTACTCCGATGGCTGTTTCCAAACGTCTACATGCAATGGGAAAAATTCAAAAGGAGGGAAAATGGGTACCACACGAATTAACCGCAAATGCCATTGCGAATCGCTTAAACATCTCTATTTCTCTGCTCGCCAGGCAGAAAAAGAAGAGTTTTTTGTGGCGCATAGTGACTGGCGATGAAAAATGGATATACTTCGATAATCCTAAACGAAGAAAATCATGGGTAGACCCTGGCCAACCATCGACATCCACACCAAAGAGAAATATTCATGGCCACAAAGCAATGCTTTGCATTTGGTGGGATATGCACGGCGTCGTTTATTATGAGCTACTCAGACCGAACGAAAGTATCACGGGGGATCGATATCAATCACAATTAAACCGTCTGAATGAAGCATTGTTGGAAAAAAGGCCAGCAGTAGCCAGCAATCGACGTAAAGTCATGCTTTTGCACGACAACGCTCGACCACACGTTGCCAAAGCCGTCAAAGAAACACTGATGCAGCTCGAGTGGGAAGTTCTCCCGCACCCAGCGTATTCACCAGACTTAGCTCCTTCGGACTATTACTTGTTCCAGTCGATGCAGCACGGCTTGGTGGATACACACTTCAGAAATTACGAGGATGTGCGAAAATGGATCGACGAATGGATTGCATCAAAAGACCAATCGTTCTATCGTCGCGGAATCTACGCGTTGCCCGAAAGATGGGAAAAATGTATAGCTAGCGAGGGAAAATACTTCGATTAATGTATTTTTTGCTTTCGATGTCGAAATAAATGAGTTTTTTAAACAAAAAAACCGCAGGAACTAAGTTTACCACCTGATACATGCACCACGAGTTATTGTTTGATGTAGATGTTGGGCTGGCACACAGTGGGGCTATTCGGCATGCGTTGTTTCCTATAGCCCTTGGATTTCAACCGATTTTGACGCTTTTTTTTTTAAATGATCATCTTGAAATTTTCAAGAGATCTGTCAAGGCCGAATTTTAAAATAATGTTAGAAATTAGTTACACATATGAACACAAAGACTTTTTTTTTAAAGTAAACTGAAACTGCTGAGCAGTTTATTTACTAGTAAATTTACTAGTAAATGGAGTGATAAATGATTATCGAGTATACAGGGTCATCGAAAAGTATCGGACCCCCCTAATATCTTCAGTTAGAATGCATTTTGGAGAAAATGTCCAATAGCAAAGTTGTATGGTTTCAAGCGGAGAGTAAGATGATGACTTTGACTTTGACCTTGACCATGTCCTTCAAGGTCATTTTAAGGTCAACCTTATTTTTTTAAATGGAACTCCCTACATTTTATTGCACATTCTTATAGCTTATCTCGAGAGCTTTCCAAAACGCTAGAATAAAACATTTTTTCATTAAGTACTTTTTGAGTTATAAAGGTTTGAAGTTAACAATTCGTTAAGTGGGGTGTGATTCCGGCCAGTTAAGGCAAGAGTGGCGTGTGGGTCCGGTCAGTTAAGGCAAGAGTGGCGTGTGGGTCCGGCCAGTTAAGGCGAATTTCATTCCAACTTGTCAGCTTGGGCAAAATATTTAATTGTACCAAACAATTCACAACAAATGTGCAAATTGTTGAAGCTGTACAACTTTGCTATTGGACATTTTTCCAAAATGTATTCTTACTGAAAATATTAGGGGGATCCAACACTTTTCGATTAATATATTTTCTTTAAACCAATTAATTGGTCTCATTATTCCGCGTACAAAAGTATTAAGGTTATGATTACTGAAAACTAAATAATATTTTACAAGATATTTTACATTTCGTGTCAAAAAATTGTTAACTTTAAACCTTTATAATTCAAAAAGTACTTAATGAAGAAATGTTTTATTCCAGTGTTTTGGAAAGCTCTCGAGATAAGCTATAAGAATATGCAATAAAATGTAGGGAGTTCCATTTAAAAAAATAAGGTTGACCTTGAAATGACCTTGAAGGACATGGTCAAGGTCAAAGTCAAGGTCACCATCTTACTCTCCGTTTGAAACCATACAACTTTGCTATAGAACATTTTCTCCAAAATGCATTCTAACTGAAGATATTAGGGAAGTACGATACTTTTCGATGACCCTGTATGTATAGCTTCCGTGAGACAGGACGTGGCCTATTTTTCTGTGGTAGTGGGGGTAAATCCTGGCGCCAGTGTGTCGAGGGGTGGGGGATGTCGAGAGTGGGGGAGGGTCCCGAAATGGAATGGAGGGGGAATTTTCCAGGTTCAGTGAAGGGGGTAATATGTGGAATAAAAAATTGTTAATATTGGAAGTGGGGGCGGACAGTGTGTCACCCTCACTGTAAATCGGGTAGGATTATTCAGGTGGATTTATGTATTTTATTTTATTTCTTTTTATCGCATCGTTTCTTATGGAATATAAACTTTGTCTCCTGTGGTATGACTGTTGTCTGGAAGTTCCGAGTCTCGACTGATGAGTGAGTCGAGGAAGAGTAGGTGACGATGGAGGAGCTAGGGGTAGGGGAGTAGTCGTCGGTTGCTTCTGTATAAGGGGTGAGGGTAATTCATGCTATTGGTTCGTTTAGTGGTCAGCTATGGATATTCACGGGGATTGGTTTTTACCTGGAGGGTCTCTCCGCTTTGTCGCCTACGTCGAGAAGTTCAGAAGTTGAGAAGTTGAGAAGTTGAGAATGCTAAGTGTGACCTGGAAAATTTAGGCGAAAAGGTTCCTACTGAACGTTAGGCGAAGGTGGGGAGCTAGCGGGAGAGGGTAGTCGCCAGATGTTTCCGCGTAAGGAGTAAGGAAGATCTATTGGTTCGTTCAGCGATCAGCTATGGTTATTCACGGAGATTGGTTCTTTCCGCCTTCCCCTGCATCGTTGCTTACGTCAAGAAGAGTTGAGGGGGGAGACGTTACCGGAAAATTATGAGGAAAAGATGCTTGCCAAAATGTTAGAAGAGCGAGATAGATGGAGAAGGGACAGCAGGTCTGGATAGCTATGGATATGCGGTGTTTGGCCTCAGTTTTGAGGGACGAAGAAAGAAATATTTTTAAAAGAAAAAGTCTATCGTTTATTTATATATACAATCATGAATACATTTCTACTTATTTCGTATACATTTGGGAGCGCAGTATTGAATGTAATGTTGAGAAGTATGGAATATGGAGCACTTAAGCTTACAATAAAAGAATATTTTATTGAATAATTTTACAATCATTTGGTCGTTTCGCTCATGTTTCGGTATAAAAAAAACTAATAAGTTGATTAAGATTATAACCGCGCCACATATAATAAAGAAACACGCAAGAATAGTGTCCGTAAGTTTGCGCCGAATATCCCTGTAGCTGGGTAAAGTTCCATCGTTGGATGATGGAATTTCTTCTAAGTCGAAGAAGGAATCTGGAGTCGATCGTGGGCAGCCGTAGCTGTCGAAGTATGTACCCGTTCCATGTTTATCGACGTACAAGGCGACCCAGTGTTGTCCTGGACGGTCATAATTTCTCGGTATTAGCGACTATCGCTGTCGACCTCGTCCATACCTTCGGTACTCGGTCGGCTGAGTAGACTCCTGAGTGTCTAACATCGAGTTGTTGAATCGCTTGTAGAATCTCAAGCGAATTCATTTTGACAAGATAGAGGCGTATGTAAAGTATTTATTAGGTGTACAACTTTGTTTTCGTCGTTTTTTTTCCGAAATTCAAAGCTTTATTGTAAAAAACTGGTTATATATTTATGATTCAAAGTATTATCCATCGCTGGCCACTACTTTCTTTCATCTTCATCTTTCGAGCAGTGTACGAATCCCGCGTCGAAAAAACTGGTCATCTTTTGAGGCGATCCACGAATTGATTCAATTTTTTATTTCCTCATAAGGCCGGAAGTGCTGGTCAGCCAGGCCGTGTGCC